TTAGAAATGTTTTGCTTCCAGCACTGAGAATTTCAAACTGATTTAATAAAAAATAATCAAAGCAGAAGAAGCAGGATAAAAAGTTCCAGATACTTTTGATATTAACTTGCTGGGGTAGTAATTCTGCATTTGGAAGCTATCATTTCCCATATAGTTTCTTCTTTAATGCATCATAGCTACCTTCCCCCGCTTTTATTCTGTATAACTCCAATTCTATCTGACAAAAACCATTTATTTGAATCAAGTTTAAACCTTTCAACAGATATATAACATTAGATGCACATAAAAACTGGAAGATAGGGAGACAATGCTCATAAATTTATTCCTAACAAATCTTTCAAGATGACTATATCATAACTGTGTTAGTCCTTTTAAAGAGCACTTGCTCAGACAGTGCCATACTAATAATTCCATTTGCTTTTAGTGCAGTACTGGAATATTTCTGGATTCTCTGTCATAAAACTTCTGCTTTGTTACAAGAACAGCAACATTCTCAGTGTAATAATTAAAATAATGAACAGACATTATATTGTTCATTGTTTTTCCTTGGAAAAAGAATATAGAAATTGAGGATGTGGATAAGGTGTGAGATGAACACTGCCCCTGCTGATTCACCCTTTGCCCCTTCTAGTTAATTAAATTTCTCAGGATATGTCAGGGTTGAGGGAATCAATGCCTTCTTGGAAGGTTGTTTTTGCTTTGCCCAAAAGAAGCAACAACAAGGCCATTACTGAAGATGGCCTTCCTTGACTAAGGAGATTCATACAATTATAGTTTGGTCTCAAATGTTTCAATGCTGAAAAAGATGGTTGAGAAAATAATAAAATAGCTCCAACTTGGATATATTTTTCCTGGACTTTTGTCTGAAATATGCATTGAAACTTGTCAGATATAGTATGGAATTAAAAAAAAAAGACATTCAAGAGCTACATGTGCTCCAAAAGCCTCAAATCACCTCAAGCTATAAAGAGTTTAGGTAGTCAATAGTGCCAGTTTTAAGGCTGAGAATCTGTTCATCACCTCAGGAAATTGAAAACTATTGTATATTACGTATATGTATATTGTGGTAGTTGCCTATCACCTATGATTCACAGAAGGGGAAATATAGTGAATTGTGAATAATAAATAGAAGAAAATTCCTTATATGATAAAAAAAGGATCCAGAAAGTTACTTTCTGTTAAAGTAGTGCTTTTCTCTTTAGAGAATCAAACCCAGTGGCCACTTCAGACTGAGCATAACCTACAAGGCAGCCCCCTCAACTTATATTTAAGTATGGTCTTGACACTTTCGAAAATGGTGGGTTTAACAGTTGGCAAAATGTTACAGTTGATTTTATAAATTATATTGTTTCTTTCGTCTTTCCATAGCTTGTCTTTGGTTCTGGATAATTCCTGGTGGAGTGTGGCTGTGGGTTTGTGGGCTATTGCTGTTCCTAGAGGTTGGAGAAATCTGTCATTTCCAACATCCCTTTTGTGCTTGGTAGGGTTAGTTTTTTCCTGGTGGTTGGCTAGGTGGTGTGTTATGATTTGGGTCCTGTATGTCGGAATACAAAGTTTTTTGGATAGCCGTTGCGAAGAAAGACATCAAGAAGCTGGTTCTCTTCTGCTTTTCTTAGTGCTGTGGTGCTGCAGTGTGTCCTGGCCCTTAGGGCACTCCAGAAGCAATTCCATCCACAGACACATCGACCTACAACCAGCCTATAAACCCCCGAGAATTCAAATCAACTGCACAACCAACCAGCGATGGCACCAACCCTCAACCAACCTCTACAATCTTCGCAACCAGCACTTCACTTCCCAATGTACCTCACCTGACATGACCTTCCCAAGACCTTCATGTGACATGACCCTTATATGCCGTGACCCATGTGACGTGACCCACCCATCACAAGATCCTGATCTGACCTCCCTATCACAAAATCTATTGACCACACAAAGCCCTTATAAGCAGAACAGTGACACTGACATCCCCTAAGCTCAGAGAATGAACCTCCACCCTCATTCTACACCAGAGCTACAGATATTTGCCACCATTGCAAAGTTTATATAATTTTGTTACAAATTAATGAAATTATTGGTGTTTAGATGAAAGTAAAGGGATAACAATTAGAGGGATAAAATAATGAACTGGAAATCTTCAGTAATCTATATCAGCTTTCTTTAAATTTCTGCCTTCCAGATGTACTGGATTTGACCTCCACAATTCCCAAACAACATAGCTTTGGAAAGATGAATTTAGATTTGTGCTATGTCAAGAGCCTAACAGAATTATGTGGTTTTTTTTACTGATATGTGGGATTATGGACAATTTTAATAAGTGTATCCCAAAACATTTCACACACCAAAGAAATCTTGAGAATGAACTGAAGCTGTGTTATTTTCTTACCTTTAAATTGTAGCCATTCCCGCTTAGTGAGAAATTAATATATTTTTTATCTGATGACAATATTGTTTCCAGGAAGTATGGTAAGAGTAACATGTTCCTCCCATTCCTCAGCTATTTTCCTGGCCCTTCAAGGTACATAACTCCCATGTTCCATTCATATTCTGAAGCTGAATGAGCTTCACTTGCCCTTCTCACCTTAGCAAATGTAAACAGAGAGTGGAATGAAGCTGCTACCTGTCAGTTCAAGTGAAAAGAGATGGAACAAGTGAAATTATATTTAGGAGCTATTTCCTATCCAGTCTCTGAAAAAGGTGCCACATTAGGACAAGAGAGAAACTTCAAAAAGGGCACCTAGAGACCACATGAGAAGGGGCCAGAAATTCCCCATATTTCTAGCAATAATGGAAGAAGATTGCTCCTAAAACTGAGCAACAGATGCCAAGTTCCAAAAGTTTATTGAGTCGGGAAGCAGTAAACAGCCTTGACATTTGAAATTCACAACGCATTCCCATAATTTATTACCCTACGCTCTCATTCCCCAAGGCAGAAACAACCTATCAGCAAACATCAAAATAAAAAGAAGGGACTCCTGGCACTTAGAGAGCAAGAAAATGTAAAATGCAAAAGATTTTGGGCTATAAAACAGCAATAAGGTGTTGTAACTCTAGCTCTGCCAGCCACTGCTCATTGCCTCTGATTGAGGTAAACTGAAATTCCAGATTCAGACTCTGACCAGCAGGGAAGACAGAAATTGAATAAGTTTGACATTTTTAATAACAATTTCAAGCAACTGGCTGCCAGAGGCAACCTCTTCCTATGAAAATGTGCAGCCTGAGGTAGATTTAACATTTTTTGTATTGCACTATTTGCATTTAATGACAAATCCTTTCAAAAATTCTCACTGTGGTAAAAGCCTCAAGGAGTCTCATATTTCAGAAAAATTAATTCAAAAATGGTAACAAGCTCAAGATTAAAACAAACAGGAGGCAGAAGGACAGAAGTTTCTGGGCAGACAAGCTATTTTGTTAATTTAAAGGAAAAGAAGGGTTTGAAGAAATTTGGCATACCTAGGCCACACTGAGTGAAGAGGAATTGTCTTAGAACATATATAAAGGTTATACTACAATGTATTGTAAATAACAAACTTCCTTAATTTATCCTATTTTTTTAATTACAATCTTGTGGGACCAGTGATGGGATCCTACCGGTTTGGACCGGTTCTGCCGAAACGGTAGTGGTTTGGCGGCTTGGGTCACTGGAACCGGCAGCAATCCAGGTCTGCCACGCCCCCGAACTGGATCTCCAGGTATCTTGTTTTTCATTTCTGTGCATGTGCAGAACTATTTTTATTGCACTGCACATGTATGCACACACAGCACACATACAAGCAAACCAGCATTAGTGCCTGCCGGTACCGACCTCCACATGTGGCTCACGGGTTGGACATGGCTGGCCTAAAGAAAGCAGCCAACAGGTAGGATATTGGTCAGGAAAAGAGAACAGGAGCCTGGACTGGGTCAATTCTCTTGTACAGATGGACAGCAAGAATCTGATATTAAATAGATGGCCATGTGTCTTATTTCACAAAGGAAAAATCCATTTCAAAGCATGTCAAACTGAAGAACTGCGAGCCAACATGATAAAGAATAAAAAGAATAGGGGTTTTGAAATGATCTATCAATAGTATCTGGAGAACAGACTAAACAAGCTCCAAAATCTCTTGTCAATTTTTTTTTCTTACTAAAGGGAAACATATTAAATTTCTATTTAAATTATACTAATTATTTGCCTCTATACATTCCTATGCATAAAACAGAATACGAACATATTGTCATTTTATGACAATTGCTTTTATTGCTTTTACTGGAGCTCTAGATTTTTGGGATAATTCATTATAGGAAGTTCTGCAACATTCAATGTCAGCTATGAAATTCTACTGATACATAGTGCCCAGCACAAAAAACATATCTTTAATTAAAGATGTTTTCATAGCAGTTAGAGGTTATTGTGGCAAATAAAATCAAGGATAATTGCAGAACTTGTCCAATCAAAAGATTTTACATTTGAGTTTCCCCTCAAATGTAAGGGAATGGAGAAATAGTTAAGAAGGAATTACATGTCTTTGTTCCTGCTGTGATCAAATGTAGCCCCTCAAGCTACATTTCAGTAATATATCAATATCTCATTCCATGTACCGTGTTTCCCCCCAAATAAGACAGGGTCTTATTTGCTTTTGACCCTCGAAATAAGCTCTTGGCCTTATTTTCAGGGAGGTCTTATTATTTTTGAGGTGCAGGAGGCGGCAAACATGGTCACTTCATGGTTACAATATTTTCGGGGAGGGCTTATTTTAGTGCATGTGCTCAAAAGCCCAATTGGGCTTATTATCCAGGTCTTATTTTCAGGGAAACAGGGTAATTCACAGCAACTGCGGATATAAAGGTTATCTTGTGCTATTCCCACAATAAAATAAATTCTAGCTATTTTTGAATAATCAGTAAGGGTGTGGCTAGCTGATGAGAGCTAAATAGCTTGAAATAGATCTATACTAGTCTCCCTTTATTTATTTATCAGCATAAAATATAACATATATATATATATATATATATATATATATATATATATATATGCATGCTATATTTATGCTGATAAATAAATATATATATATATATCAGTGTCAGTTAACAGCTAACATTGTACGAATGGGGTCATCTAGTGCTCTAGAGAATGTATATAAAGATAGTATGGAGATAAACAATCATGTGTTTTCTAATTACTATATAGAAGCACACTGCAAATGAAAGAAATTCCTCAAGCACTGACATGTTTAGTATATAAACCTTTGGTTCATTACATTTCAACTGTTTTTCTTTCAGTCCTTTTAGCCTTAATTTCAGACTTCAACTGTAAATGCTAGTTATTAAGATTTTATTAATACCCCTGGCTGAAAATATACAAGATCAAGATTGAAAAGAGCCTGTTTGGGTGAGAATGAAGCCCATCCTCATACATGGCCCTCCTATTGTCCCCATCATGTGTGAGAAAGAAACTTTAGGCAGTAAGCTTCATCACCAAAGCACCCAAAATTAGCAGTACAGTACAAAGCATTTATATACAAGGGACAATATATTTTTCCAGGATGTAATTTGTGGTCAATATGGAGCTTCAAATGCACCACATGTAAGGCAGTGTATACAATTACAGTTCTTTCTTTCCAGGTATACTTAGCTGGGAAATATAGTGGCAAGTTTGGCTGCATCTTGTTTCCTGGAAAAGGAACAACGTCTGATGGCATTTAGCAACCACTGCTCTTTACAAAGCACTCTGAATCCAGACAGGGTGGTTTGATATATTTGAAAATTATCTCTGGCGGGCATAAATTAAAGAGATATTGTGAGATGTTTAAATTCTAGAAGATAATTTGAGAGAATTTCCTAGTTCCAATAAGTAAAAAGTGCCAGTAGATAAAACTCATAGAAGTTTGCTAATTTTCATCAGAATTTAAACTGGTTAGTGGAAAGACACTGCTTCTCGATTAACTAGACAGCAGCATCCACCTGACCCTTTCCTATGGACAACTGATTTACTTAAGCCAGGAAAACTGTGATCGCAGGCCTAATTCAGCAGTGTCCTATTCTCCAGGAAAGTTTGCTGGTCCAGAAGAAGAGGATTCTGCAGTACTCTTCCCCATGCTAACTTTCTTGGTTTCTTAAACCTATCTCCTGTTGGGCTGCTTCCTCCTTTCTTTTCATGACCTCCAATACAGCCAGCTCCTTGGCTTCTTTCTTCTGATTCCGAGCTTCAAATTCCAGCCTACAACAACCAAGAGATCCATAATTGTAGAGATATTTAATTTCATTGCACTTGTTTAAATTGCTGGGCAATTCTGATGTTCTTATGTCTGCTCTGAGCTATTTCTAAGAATTTTCTTCTACAAATCAGATGTATGATGTTCAAAAAGCAGGAAAGGGTGCTTCAGATCCACGAAGGTCCTGGGTCATACAGAAACCTCAGGAAAAAATATGGCTCTTTAAGAAACAGTGATCGATACAAAGATATTGTCCATGCTAATCCAAAGCATAATTTCAAATACTGAGCAATTAAGCAATTTATCATGTCTTCTTCCTAATTTGTGAAAGGTATTCTAGTTGCAATATTGGTTATTTTTAAGGAAATCAGAATATAACTCAATGCATTTCTGCAGCCCTCAAAATTACAGTAAGCTACCAAATTTAGTAGAAGACTATTCAGAGGTGGCTACATGATCTTCTACTGTATAAGGATTACTTTAATACTTTTAGGTAACTGTTTAAAGATGCCCCAATCCCATCCCAATGCAAGCACAACTAGAAAAATATAATAACTTTCACTGTAGCTCTCAGGACTGAGAAATAAAAATATATCCCCAAACAAAACAGTATAACTGGGTAGATTCTTCCTTCTTTCTTCTGTAAATTATTATTTTGTGGGTAAGAAATGTAAAATTATTTTGTTGGCTTAGTGTTGGGTCATAAAAAGATAGCTCCAATGAATGAAACGTTTATAGCAGCAGAATCAAAATTCTATCATACTACACACAAAATTAAAAGCAGCTAACCTGTTTTTAATTATTCTTTTCACTATCAGATCAGTGGTGAGATTGTTGCCACTGTCTACCAGCTGGAAAATACCACGTCTCCTAGGTTCCTGTAGATAGAGAGAATAGAATGAATGGATGAATGAGAAAATCTCTTACATCAGAAGTGATAGCCAGGGCTCCCATTTAACATGGGATTACAACTGACAGAGCAATGTTATATGTTGGTGGGCTTAGGCGGACTCTCTTGGATTTGGGGTGTCTTTTTTTTCTTTTCTTTTTCTTTCACCAACTACTTTAAATACTTTATACTATAGGACGTGATGTGCTATCTCAACATGGATGATATTATGCCATTAATTTTCAGGAACAGTGATAAGATGCGATTTCAGAAAGTCCCATCCAAATCAAGCATGTTAAGAGCCAAAAACATTCTTAGTGTTCTGGATAATCTTTCAGCCATTAATTCTTATCAAATAGGCTGAAAAAGTTCCAGGGATGCATTTATGGCAGTGCAGAAAGAAAAAGTCAATAAAACAATTAGAATTGGAGAAAGGAAGGAACTCTGCAGTTTAGCACAGCAATGAGACAATTCACAATTGGCCACAAAGTTGATAGCTCAAATAAACTATAAGCTATATTCTTACTGTTCTTCTGACCACAGAATGGTTTAAAAACGCTGAAAGAAATTTATTTTCCTGTCATATATTGTGACCTGAGGCCCAAATAAGGGAAAAATAGGTTTCCATCATTCTTACCTCATATGGATTTGATCCATCCTTGTCAGGCACCACCTCAGTCATTCCATGGCACACAAGATCCACCTATACAAAAAGAAAAACTGTTACCATCTTCTTTAGTCTTTCTTTGTCTGGAGGCTGATTCATCACAATATAGCAGGCACAACTCACCTACATATATGATATAGGCAATACATCCCTTATACTGAAGCCACTATATATTGGCAAATGCTCTGTCTCCTAACTCCCAATTACCACATACCTCCCAGCGGCCGGTGAGATCACACAAATTGGGCCTCCTTCAGATGCCGTCAGCCAGACAATATCGGCTGGTGGCTCCCCGGAGGAGAGCCTTCTCTGTGGCTGCTCCGACCCTTTGGAATGAGCTACCCCCAGAGATCCTGACCTTGCCCACTTTCATGGCCTTCAGAAAGGCTGTTAAAACCTGGCTATTCCGGCAGGCCTGGGGCTGTTGACCTCAATTGAGGTC